CGGCGCGAGCGGCAGCCCGCTGGGCGGCGGCGCCGACGGAGGCGGAGGCGCGAGCGACGCAGCCGCGCTCATGAGCGCCGCGTGCCGCGTGGGAGCGGCCGCCGCGCGCCACTCCGCCACCGACTGGGACATCAACGACACCAGCGTGCCCCGGGTGAGTGGCAGCCCGCGCGCTTGCGGCTGGCCTGTGGCCGGAACGCGCTCCAACCCCCCAGTGAAGTCCAACGTCCGCGACGTATGAACTTGTGGTGTGATAAATTGCCAGTGATACCGAGTGATTCTTGTAGTACTCTAAAACACTATTTCCAACGTTCATTCTCGAATAGTTCAATATATCTACAGTGTTAAACAGATAGCTCAGAACCCTAAACTGAATATCGTGAATGTCGACTTCTACTTATCTAATTTAAAAATTGAAATTACTTCAACGCGAAATACAATATATTTATGTTTGGTTATGAAAAGTGATACGAGATACATTTATTTCTTTGAAAATAAATTCAAAACAATGCAATATAAAATCGTAAGGAGCATTTAAATAAGTGCGAAACAGAAATGAATTTATAAACAATTGGCACGATATCAAACGTTTTCACATTTAAGCCAAAATTGAGTAGACAATACTAGATTCGGTAACTTTCTCTATCTGGTACAAACAGTGTATGATTTGATGTAAACCTTCTGACTTATTTCAAAATACAAATTAATTTAAATACAAAAATTAGAGGTAGAGTATGTCAAGCGATCGTTTGGTCGGTATTGAACATTTTCACGATCGAACCAAACATAATAAATAAGTGAGAGAATTAGAAACCGGACATACACCTATTTACGTAGTGACTTCATTTTAGTGAGTAGGTGATAACACTGTGAAAAACTTTCGGGTGACGATCATTGACCATTCTACCCAAATGCTGTTGCATTGTCAAACATTTATTTTCTCTAATATTGGAAAAATATTCAGGTTTCCCCGAATTTCGCCGCTTATGAACTGATTTATATTCTGCCACTTTTTACCGAGAAATTTCATCGCCGCAGCTTATATGCAAGTTCATTGCTTCCCGTTCAGCACGTATTATTTGCTTCAATATAATAAATATTCACTTTTTTAATACACAAACTACTACGTTTTTACAGAGCGTTTTATAACATACCCACATCTGCTTTCGTTTCGTAATTTATTCGGTGCAAACTTACTTGGAAATATCGGTGAATATCCCCCTTATAGACTTGAATGTCCCCTTCTGGTGAAGTATTAATTTCTTGTTGTCACAAGCACAATTAATCTCTATTAATGAATGTAGATCCATATTTATGATTTCCACATCAAATCAAGTTCGTATAACAGAATCTGGACAAGAAAACATCCTCGAGAGCACTATTAGGACTCATTCAAATCGGGTTGCATAAGCGAAGATGGAATTCATTTTTCTATCCGTTCTTCGATCGGATCGTCCCCTCCTGCAGTTTTGAACGTTCCTCTCTAGAGAAAATTATCAATTCACATCCTGGTAATTCACTCATCCCTCCCTTGCTTGTAGTTGCTTGGTCAATTTAAGAGACCAAATTGTCGCCGTTAATAATATAGCACACCAGGTACGTCTCCCCGCAGTGCCACCAAGCAGGTTAAATTGTTAAGCATTAGAATTATCTTGGTCGGATGAACTGAAGCTCGCAAAAAACGAAAACATAAATTGCGCCACAATCGTAACCGATGCTGGAAGTGTTGTCCCGTTCCCTTGTTTCCCAGTTCTCCCAACATGAATGCAATTCTTATGAGGAATGCTTTGCTGTCGCCTGCCGCAGGTGAGCGAGTTCAACCGCTGGCAGGAGTGGGCGGACGGCCACTGCCGCCTGGTGTACCCGGCGTCCAGCGAGGAGGCCAAGCGCCACGCGTCGGGCTGGGCCATGCGCAACACCAACAACCACAACGTGCACATCCTCAAGAAGTCGTGCCTGGGCGTGCTGGTGTGCTCGCTGCGCTGCACGCTGCCCAACGACGAGAAGGTGCACCTGCGCCCGGCCATCTGCGACAAGGCGCGCAAGAAGCAGCAAGGTGCGTCCTCCCACGCGCGACGCCTCGCGCGAGCACAGCGCCTCTGTTGCCTGTTGCCTCTGCACCACGCGACAAAGCGAATGGACAGACGCTTTTCACGACTGGCGGACGTAGTAGATATAAACATCATTCAGGCGATAGCACAAATAACGGACGCGGTTTAAATTTGTAATCCGAGACGATAGCCGATGTTTTGACCAACCAAGCACGTCATTTGTGACATCGGCCGTATGTCGTAAGATAGTTTTCGTAAGAACAATCATGTAAATAAGAAAAAAATTAAATAGTCCTAATCGTACTCCATCTCCTACAACTCTTTTGCTTCTATTGTTCTTAACTGTCGGCAAAGTTTTGATTCATAAAGGACGCCGGTCATTAAGAATATCTTTTTGTTCCTCCGGTTGGCGTTAAGTGGAAATAACAGCACAGTATTACGAAAAGTATTTTACCGGCTGATGCCTTAACAACATACAAAACAAATGAATTATTCGCTGAAAAATATTGCGTATGAGTTCTATTAAAAGTAAATGTATTTATTATTTATAAGAATGTTTTATAAGATGGAAATATGAAAAGTATTGAACGAAACACGGACGATGTTAATCATTTTCTGTAAAATCATAGTTAATTTGATTTTAAAATATCGTTATATCAATATTTACGGCATTTTACTCAATCAATAATTATAGCACAACAGATTATAAGTTTCAATCATTGCAGTAGAAAGTAGTTTTCTTCTCTAAACTGTAAAAATAATTAAGTCTGCATTATAACAGAACTGTGAAGTACAAATATACTAAAATTCAGCGTACTTATTTTGAATTCAAACACCAATACAATTTTACAATGTATATTTCCTAATTAGCAGCTACTTCATTTCGTATAAGTGCCAAATTGGGGAATATCAATCGAATTTTAACAAAGATTTTCAATTTTAAGTCTACTGGATTCTTATCACAATTAATTTATAGTAGTAATCCACTATGTTATTATTTTAAATACGAATATCCCTCCGATAGAGCTGCAATAAATCGTGTATTGAGAAGCAATAACAATTCAGTATAGTGTGGAGCTGTAACTTTTATTAAGAAAGTCTTTTACATATTATAATATTTTTAAAGCAGTTTTGATTCAATCAGTTTTAGTTCGATGATTTTATACATTAGTACAGGAAAAAAATATGTTTTGCATATTTCATTTCTAACCGTCCCAAAGTGAATATCACGAAAAGATTTTCAACCAAACATATTCACTTATTTCAATAAATAAATTAATTTAGATGTGTTTTAAGTAATTATTTAGATCAGCCTTACATTTGTCTTTAGAATATCCAAACAATATGAATAGCGCATTATTCAAAAAAAAAAAGATTTCCTTCTAAAGTGTCTCAGATAGTGCCGTCCATTCTATTTTCAAAATGTACTGAATTGCTTTCTGTGGGCTGCTTAGGAAATATAGCATGAGCTGCAGGCAGAATATCTTCGTAAAAGAGAGAACTTTTGTTTAATCAACACTATTTTTCTACATTATTCTGCCTTCATTAGAGTATAAAGACTTTCCATTTGCACAATACGTATGGTTGATTTCTAAATCTGAATGGACTATGTCCGTACATCAAGTTGCTATTGCAGGTGTGCAGATAAAACGGCAATAAAGATGCGACCGTCGCCATTGTGCTCGAGAAATGACCGAGAGTCCGAAGATGGTATTGATTACTAAATGGCAACGACACATTTTAGGGACTATTTGGCCTTAGCTCTGAAGAAAAGTGAACACCGATCCTTGTTCCCAAAGGAGAACGTAGGCATTTTCAGATTTCCACACAGTTCGTAACGATAGAACGCTTGCGAAACTAGCTCTGACACAAACTGCTGAGAGCGTTAATAAACAAGCATTCCGTCATAAAACGAAAAAGTATATATTAATCGATGCTTTAAAATAAGTGTGTTTCACCGTGATAATCACCTAGCGTAAATGTTAAATTATATAGCATTAGCTGGCCTCAGTCTTTCATGATTTGTATGAAACTGCTTTATGTCAGGCTTGCAGTTAGGTCATGGGTATGCCGGGATATACTAATACTAGTGCTACCGATTATTCAGTAAACAATTATTGAAGCAATGTAATAAAATGTGGAGCCGTTAAATGTATTATATTATTCCGTCGCTAAATTATTTAACATCGAACATAAAACTGATTGTGATCGCGATTGACTTCTTCTGTGACTATTTTTACCAGCAAGCGTTATTTTCTCTACACAGTTGCCAGGACTTACTCCAAAAGTATAGTTTGCCTGCAACTTTTCTAGCATTTTTCACACATGACATTTCAACCATAAATACAGATTTTTCGGGGACTTATTTCCATTAATTCCTCACACATTTTTACTTTCTCGCTGTAGGCTAGAGAGAAAGTTATGTAATGCACGAAAAACTGAGAATTTTTGACAGAAAATTTCTTATGACAAGGCTGGCATTGTATCTGGTAACGAAACATTGGATAAATCCAGTTGCTAAATGTAGGGGGGGGGGCGGGAAATCCTCTAACACGTGGTGTAGCCAGAATCTATGTTTTGTGGGTCTTTGATACCGCAAAATCGAAACGTCTACCGGTCCGTCCGACCGCCTGTCGATCCGCCCTTCCGTCCGACCAACTGTGAACAACGCTAGCGGCTAAACCGTTCGTCCGATGTTGATGTCGCGGCCCCCTTGAATTTTAAACCTATATTTTAATTTTTTGGGGAGGAGGGGGATACTTTACATGAAATGCATGGGACATTTTCCAAATTTTCGAAAAAATTGCTCCATCATTTTTGATTAAATTTTGTTGTTGGATAGTGTGAAGGACGTTTAAAAGAATGGCGCAAATCTCATGTTTGTTTAAAAAACTGATTTTTCGAAAATTTCAAAAGTTTAAATTTTTTCGGCCACTTTCCACATCTACAATTATGCAGATCGAAATGTTTTCCGTTAATGAAATCTGTTCCTTAAATATAGGTTTTGAAATGAAGTCATGTACGATTTTTAAAAAATTGGAGTACTTTTCGCACAATTTTGCCTGAAAATACGGGCGAGAAAGTACGTGCTGTTTTAGCCTTAGTTACACATCTTTCTAGTTCATAAGAAACGTACTTTTTTTCAGATTACTCTTAATTCATTTGTAATTTATAATTTTTATCATTAATTATTAACCGAGATATAATTAACATTTTAACTTAAAATAAAGTTTTTATTTCCCGAATCGTCATTTTCGACGTTCACAATAATCGTTAATAGCATTGGAAACCACATAAATGGTATGATAACCAATAGTAAAAAGAAAGAGATAGGAAAGTAACTATACATCACAGAAATACTACTAACATAAGAAACAAACTTTTTAAAATGTATAAGAATACCTTAATTTATTCATGATACTAAAAACAATACATATTTTAAAATCAAAATTTCACGTGTCTGGCGGTAATTAAGAAAACCATACGTCAGTTTTAACATTTTCCCGTAGTAATGCACATTAATACCGTCGTCGATATAGTAAAAATTAATTCTTGTTTTCGTATTTCTATTTTCCCCCTTTTTCCCCAAAACAAACAGTATTTTCACTGTCAGTATTTTATAGTATCCGTTCTCCATTTATAAGCTTTTTCATAATGGGCATTTGCTAAACTCCGAAACATTGCCCTGAAAGTCGTAGAATCAGTGTTTTAGACACGAATATTATTTACCGTTATGTATACCATATATACGATACCTATTTCTCGGAAAAATCTTAATGACTGTTATTCAATCATATTTTATTCCTTTGTCCTATTGCAGAACACAAGGCCGGTCATGCTGTTAAGTAAACGTTTAATTGTTTTCACTTATGGTTTTAATTACAGAATGAATTTCAGTTAAACATCTTCTTGTAATGTTTTATTCTTCTATTTTGGTAATTCTGTGTTATTAGAAAGAATATTCCGTAAGAATTACTTCATTTTTTCTCGTCACTGATCAGCTAAAATTATTTCACTTTTAGGATCTGTGAACCGGAAAACATGTTCAGTCAGATGACTATTAACCCACATCAAGTACCTCAGTTTACATTTTCGTTTGTATTGCTCGTGCGATGTTTCCGGGCGTCGTGCGAGTCCTCGTAGCCCAGAGGCCTACACGGCCTTATCGCGGAGGCGAGCGGACGGCCCGGCGCGCACGTGCTGGGCGGAAGCGGCGAGTGCCCTTGGCGCTTCCCGCGCCCGGGCGGAGGAAGGGCCCGGAAGGAAAGGGAAAGGGAAAGGAACGGCCCCGAAACGTTGATATCGCGAGCGACAAGTCTCGGCGCGCAGGGCGGCCGGTCGCACGCCAGCTGGCCGCTACCGAAAGTTCGCGCACTCAACATTTCCGACCGGGGGCTCCTCTACGGGTTTATATCTTCGGTCTTGCAGCTTTCAGGGTTCAGCGAAACGCAATTTAAAGGTGAATAAAGCTTAGCGAGATGTAGTAGTCAGCTTTACGATTGACAATATGAACAGAGGTGGGGAAGAAAATCACATCTAAAGCGATGGTCAACTTTTCAAAGAACTGCTTCAATTACTGATGCTTCTTTTATCACGGGCACATAAAATGTAAAGTTTATTTGCGTAAGTGAACAATGAAATGACTGTTTCAGGTATATGTATGCGAGTTTCTCAGTCACTAGATTAGTTATTTGTAAGTAACGTGTTGTTAAAATTATAATAATCGGCAAATTCTGGACACCCAAAATCGGAGTTTTTTGTGGCCATGACAGAAACAGAGAATGACGAAAACAATTATTGCTTTCAATAAAATCAGTATTAATACATAAATTCTTATGAGTAACAATATACATTTTTCATATTTACTAACTGTTTACGTTTGATTTAAATATCTTCAGTTTCCTTTCTCTCGGGAGCTTTACTTTACTCGGGAGCTTACTGGTTCTTCCTGATTATGTAGTCAGAAATTCATGTCATCCACTTCCTCCATGGGGGGCAAAAAGT